TGTGCCCTCACCATCTGTGAGAGAATAGAATAACAGAAGTTTAGTTTCCAGAATCAACAAATTCACACGACAAGATTACAAAAAAGTGAAGTTTTTCTAATGGTTCAGCACCCTCTTGAAGATAAGTACAGATTATCCGTACCGATCCGCAAGGCTCTACTAAACTTGCTCATGACTCGTGAGACCTATGTAACCTAGGCTCTGATATCAACTTGTCACGACCCAAAATCCCACACGTTGTGATGGAGCTTATCGCAATACTAGGCAAGTCAACAATCACAAATAACCACACATCTTTTAGTTGAAAGCATAATAAAATAATCTTAATAGTGAAAACCTCATAAAAACTGATAAGAAAATACCATTACTCAATACAAAATTCCCAGAATTCGGGTGTCACTAAGTACATGAACATCTAAATAACAACATAGTCTGACTGCTAAAACACTATCTAAAAAGATAGAACAATACTAATAAACTGAAAATAAGGAGAGTCAAGGTATACAGACACCAAGGCAACTACCTTAATAGTCTCCGAGCAAATAACGATCCAAAGCTAGCAACCGCCGTGCCCAGAAGTGCCTGGATTTGCAAACAAAGTGCAGAGTGTAGTATGAGTATAACCGACCCAATGTACCTAATAAGTAACAAGACTAACCTTGGGCTGAAAGTAGTGACGAGCTCAAAAAGTACAGTCCAAATCCAGATTACAACAATATAGATATGACATGAAATATGACATTAAAATCTCAGAGAAACTCATAATTAGATGGTACACAGTACGGAAATGTAGACATGTTTTCAAGTTTAACAGTTTAAGCTCAAGACAAATGAAATATGCCAAGTATGACTTATATGAGAAATGTTACATCTCTATATCTACATATCAAATGTGCATGTCACAGGTAATGCATCATAATGATAACCTCACATACTCCCACTCTTAGAGTACTCAATCTGACTGTCTCAATTCTCATTCATCACACTCAATCACTCAGCACTGTAAGGTACCTACACTCACTACTGGTATGTTAGACTCGGGAAGGGCGGATCCCTCCCCCAAGCGCTAATAAACCTACTGCAGCTCACAACTTGATCCCATCATGAATCAATAATACTTGTTGTGGTGTGCAGCCCGATCATATCATGAGTCAATAATGTCCGCTGCGACGTGCAACCCGATCCCATCATGAATCAATAAAACTTGCTGCGACGCGCAGCCCGATCCCATCTATATCACTCACAATCAGGCCCTCGGCCTTAGTGAGTCATCAATCTCTCCAGTATCTTGGGTTCACAACACTCATGCCAATCGGCACAAAACAATGATACATGATGTCACAATAAATGATAACAGAGATTGAGATATGATATACAAATGATGAATGCGACTGAATACATAATTGCAATTTAAGCAAATAACTCAACAACAAAAGAATGACCTTTATGGGTCCCAACAGTATCCGCATATAACCTAGACATGATCTCTAGCATGAATCACATCTCAAGCTCTCTAAAACATGGAGTGAACACGAATACTAGCAAGATTAGATGACTACAAAGTTCCATGAAATCAACCGAGTCACAATTACTACAGTGTACGCCCGCACGCTTGCCACCTAGCATGTGCGTCATCTCAGTACCAAACACATAACACGTATTTCAGGGATTCATACCTTCAGAACCAAGTTTAGAAGTGTTACTTATCTCAACCACGTAAATCTCTACTCCAACACGCCCTTGCCTCGCGAATCAGCCTCCGAACGACTCGAATTTAGCCACAAACAACTCAATACCATCAACACAAGCTATATGAATTTATTCCATATGATAAAGCTAAGTTCTTTAACAAAAGTCAAAACGTTAATCCCAAGCCCATGTCTCGGAATCCTACAGAAATTACAAAATGCGAACACTCATTCAATAATAAGTCCCACCATACTAAAACACCCAATTCCGACCCCAAATCGACACTCAAATCCCCAAATCTACTCTCCAATCCCTAGTCCAAAATTCTCCCAAATTTCACCTTAAAAACAAATAATCTAGGTGGGAAATTACATGGTTATTCAATATTAATGAATAAAAAGATTAAAAGTGGCTTACATCTTAAAATCTAGTGAAAACCCTTCAAAAATCGCCTCAATCTAAGCTCCAAAAGTCCAAAAATGAATAAACTCTCGGAACCCTTCGAAATAATATAGTACCAGTGCTTTCGCACCTGCATCCATTTAATTGCATCTGCGTCCTGCAGACGCGACAAAAATCCTACTTATGTGGTCCCACAAGCACGACAAAAATTCCGCTTCTACGATTTCATGAAGTCCCTCTGTCCTCGCTTCTGCAGACAAGGCCCGGTATCTACGAAGTCGCACCGGCAACCTCTTCTCTCCTTCTGTGGAAACTGCTGCCACTCACCCAAATCACACATGTGTTTTTCCTTCCCGCATCTGCGATCTCGCAGGTGCGACCAAAACCTCGCAATTGTGCATCCCCTCAGTCCAGAAAAATTTTGCACCTGCGATGCCAAACACGTCTCTGCGGTCTCACACCTGCGACCAAATCCTCCGTAGGTGCGATCGCATCAGACCTGGTGCACTTCAACAATTCCTCAAGTCCAAACTTATTTCGATTTCCATCTGAATCATCCTCGATGCCCCCCGAAACCCATCCAAACATACCGACACATCCCAAAACACGATATGAACTTATTCGAGGCCCTAAATCACATCAAACAACATCAAAAATACGAATTGCACCCTAATTCATGCCTAATGAAACTAATGAATTTCTAACTTCTACAATCGATGCCGAAACCTATCAAATCAACTCTGATTGACCTCAGATTTTGCACACAAGTCATAAATGATACAACAGACTAATTTCAACTTCCGAAACCAAAATTAGATCCCGATAACCACAAAGTCAATTCTCGGTCAAACTTCTCAATTCTCCAAACTTCAACTTTTCCAACTTTGGCCAATTCAAGCCAAAATCACTTACGAACCTCCAAATCAATATTTGAACACACTCCCATGTCCAAAATCATCATACGGAGCTATTGGAACCATCAAAACTTCATTCCGGAGTCAATTGCACATAAGTCAACTTCCGGTCAACTCTTTCAACTTAGGCTTCCAACCTTGGAACTAAGTATCCCAATTCATCCCGAAACAAACTCAGAACCAAACCAGCCACCCTGACAAGTCCCATTATAACAAACAAATACAGAATAGGCAATAAATAGAGGAACTGGGCTATAATGCTCAAAACGACCGGTCGGGTCATTACACTAACATCAGGCCTGACATAGCTTATAATGTTCAACACTTAAGCCAATTTATGCAAGAAACTAGGGAACCTCACTTAAAAGCTGCATTCCACTTGTTAAGATATCTGAAGGGTGATTCTACCTTAGGTATTTTCATGTCAAAAGATGAGGACCGGACAGTAAGGGCATTCTATGACTCTGATTGGGCTTCATGCCCAAATTCAATAAGATCAATGAGTGGCTATTTGGTATTACTTGGAAATAGTCCTATCAGTTGGAAGTCGAAGAACATGAGACCATATCTTTATCCTCAGCAGAAGCTGAGTACAGATCACTTAGGAAGGTAGCAGGAGAGTTGGTTTGGTTATGCATATTATTGGATGAGCTTAATGTGCCATATCCCATACCTATTTCAGTACACTGTGATAGCCAATCAGCCCTCCACATTGCTAGAAATCCTGTGTTTCATGAGAGGACTAAACATATTGAAGTTTATTGCCATTTTGTGTGTGGCAAACTACAAGAAGGGCTCATATCTCTGCACTATGTCACTACAAATGAGCAGCTAGCAGACATTCTCACTAAAGCTCTTATCAGAGTGAAACATTCTATTGTATTAGGCACGTTGGCAGTGTTGTCGGCACTTCCAACTTGAAGGGGGTTGGGGAGGAGTATTGAGATTAAATATTTATCCTATATTTCTTCTCTTTACAGATTAGCCAGTATGTGCTGAGTCAGCAGTTAGTGGTTAGTATTTAATAGTTGTAGTCACATTAGAATAGATATTTTACATTCCTGTTGCTAATTATATGTAAGGGGACCTACACACAATTAATCAGTTTGGGATTTCTTCTTCTCCACTCACGTGTTCTCTGCTTTCTCTTCTCTTTTATTGCTTCTTTCCAGAAGCTTCCGACCTCCATTATAGTTCAGTTCGAGCTAAGTTTGATAAAAATCATGTAATTGAGACAATTAAGTAGAGAATGGAAAGATGCGAGACCGGAAGGTGATTCTACATATTTCGTACTCCCTCCGTTCCAGTTTAAGTGAACGTATTTTCTTTTTGGTTCGTTCCAAAAAGAATGACCCCTTTCTAAATTTGAAAACAATTTAGCTTAAACTTACAATTCTACGCTTAATGAGAAGCTTTTATAACCACACAAATACTCTGGGCCCCTTTTTGATTTGTTTAGGACCACAAATTCCAAAAGTCTTTATTTTTTCTTAAACTTCGTACCTAGTCTAACATGTTCACATAAATTGGAACGGAGGGAGTACTATTTTATTTGAAACCTCTCTCAATTGTTGTTTCTTCTGTGTATGCTAGCTATTCCATATATTTTTCCTCTTTCGTGATATGAATAGATAATTCAACAGTCAGGCATCTACAGGCTTTATGGGCCCTCACATATTTACATAAGAAAAGAGCTTTTGCTTTTGGGATCTTACTCTAGAATAGGCAACTATTCAGGTTACTGTTGTTATCGTCAAAGACGACGCATACAGTTATTTCAAGATGCCAAAATGTTCACAAGCGACCACAAACAGTCAAACACATTACTAAGGTTAAAAAAAGAAGTCCAATATAGAAGTCAGAAATTTTAGATAGGGGCATTTGCAATAAAGATCCTTTTTTTGCGGCTGCTAGTTAAATTCTGTCCCCAATAGCTAGTGAGCTAAATTTATCTTCAAAATGAAAAACACATTCAACTACTTCTAAAACGGGAGATTGATCCCAAAAAAGACTATATAAAGTGCAAAATAAGAATTCGCATATATATATACATAGACATATACACAAACTCAATAATCCACCAAATTGATAGGACTGTTTTAAACGTTAATTTCCAATCCGGGAAACAAAGGTAATAATATTAACAAATAGTATACCTACTAACAATATCTAGCTATAACAAGCTAGAATATTGATAGCTTGTCATTTTCCTCAGTGATGCTGGAACTTCCTCACCTGCCACTATCACCATCAATGCCATTGTTATAATCTCCTGAATTAATACGACTATTCCACGCAGAAGAATATCTATGACCAAACATTCCATATGTTAGACCAATTAGAGTACCTGTTCCTCCTCCAGATTCATAATTGGCGTATCGCATTAAGTCAGCATTTGTGGCATCGAGTTCTTTTTGGAGGCGAATAACTTGCTTTTGAAGAACTGAAATTGCTCCAACACACCCATAGACTGGATCTTTTAATCGCGCCTCGGCTTCATAAGCGAGAGAATTGACTGCATCTTCTCTCTGATGTGGTTGGATTTCATTCAGAAGCTTACTTACATTGCTGGCACCAAATACTTTGTGTACGGTTGTGAACTTTATTGGCTCCTCTGGAGGGAAATAAGGAGCAAAAATGCAACTTGGCAAGCATTTTCTTCTCAAGAATTTGCAGGCAGCGCATGGAGGGTTTGAGTAGCTGCTTGAAGAAGACATCTAATTGCTTACTCTCCAACACTTATCTGCTACGTAACAAATTGAATTTGCTGTTAATTCGTACGAGTTTAAGTTATATGAACTTACAAAATATAATACCTTTAGGGGTCGTTTGGTTACAATACAAGTTATGCTGGGATAAGTTAAGCTGGGATTAGTTATGCTAGGATTAATTATCCTTGTATTCTTTTTTATTCACTGTTTGGTATGTTGTATTAAAAGTGACATGTATTGCATAAATTTCTATCCCAACACTAATTATCTCACCCCTACAAGGTATAAGTTATCCCGGAACTAATTGTTCCCGAAATAACTTATCCCAGATTTGGTAACCAAATAAGTAATTAAGGTGATGTTAAATTTTTATCCCAACATTATTTTTATTTATCCATCATACCAAACGACCCCTTACTCTATCAATGAAATTTTATGACCAACGGTTTAAGTTATACATACTGACATTGTAAAATCAATTTAATCGGTTACAACATCACTACTCTATTTCTTACGTTACCATATCAGACTCTTGATATGAAAAGTTAATTATGTGTTGTTGTTGGTCAATTTATCATGACTATGATAAACAATCTATACTCAAAACTTAAATTCCAATTATAATATGTTACTTTTTTTATTTCAATTTATGTGATAGTATTTAAATGAGCATGGAGTTTAAGGGAAAAAAGGGAAAGATTTTTGAAACTTATAGTATAAAACAAGACTTAAATGTGAATATAAATTGGTATCTCATAAAGAGTAAAATAAAAAGTTTAAAGTTAAATCCAAATATAAAAAGCAAAAAATTTTCTAAGAAAAAAATAAAAATAAAATAGCATAAATTAAGACGGAGGGAGTATTATAAAACTTTCAGGTCACAATATCAGAAATAATAATAGGTCAACTTATTAACCTAATAGCTAGTGTAAGATCTTTTTACACTGTCAATCAACATAACACAAATTCATTGGTGTATATGTGCGGTACCATCTTAAATATTAAAGCTAATGAAAAAGCCTTTTTTTGCCAAACATATCAAAGGGAGATATTTCAAACCTTGACACTGTTGACAAGAAAATACTCATGTGTGATTAAATGTTTAAGCACAATCTCCATGCTTCTCATTTCTCAATTTCGCATGGTCAAACGAACCCTTATGTATTAGTCATCGTAAATGAAATTCAATGATCTAAGAATTATAAGATCAGGGACTTATAATATATGACTAAAGGCGCGAGCATACAAAATAGATTTAAGTTATTACTTTATCAACGGAAAAAATGACACAAATTACTAAAATATTTCTGCAATGGTTCTAACATCAAACCTAACATCAAATTTCCTCTACAGGGAATCTTTTTGAAACTGTAATGAGAAACACCTAAATTGTTATTCTTCTGTTATTAAATTTCTTCATCTTGCAGGCCTTGACTAAATATAAAGTTTGCATATATGGAGCTCAAAATTTTAATCAACAACATATTTATAGTTCTGAATTTCCTTTTGCTACTCAATCAAATTCAGCCTTCTTCATATTGTTGCATCTACTACTTTATATTAAATTAAGTTCTTGCAAGGGAGATGGGGTCAAACTAAAATCATGTTCAAAGGCTCACAGAAAAATGTGTAAATCTAATTTGGCATCATGCTTAGTAATTAACTTCCAATTAAAGCCAAAGGGAAGGATAATATGTGTATTGCCATAATTTATGAAATATAGTGAACCCAAAACTGTCAAGTCATCAGTAACAAAACAGTGAGACATGTGAGCTTACTACGAAGATTTTATCCGACATTCCACCTGCAAACAAGACTTTATAGATCAAACTACAAAATTGAAAGTCAGACAAGTGTTTCATTTGATTGTCTTTCTAAAGATGCCAATACGCATCTTTTGGAAAACGTCTAAAGAAATTGTTAACGGTTATATATAGATCTACATCTTGGAGTGATTTCAGGTCGATCTAGAAATTAAAAGGAAAAAAAGAAAAAAAAAGCTATATAGTGATACCTCTTATTCTTGGTAGTGCCAAATATTTCAAGCTTTGTCGGTTGCTTCTCCTAAGATTAAGGAGATCGCACCATTATAGAGCTATATAGGAAAGGATTATAAAAAGGTATTGGATTTTTGTAGAAGTTTTTGGAAGGGAAGAAAACCCTAGCAGGCAATAAACACTATGAACAAAAATCTGAGGGAGATAATGAGAGAGAGAGACAAAGACAAGGCAATAAGCACCAAGTGAATGGAGATTGAACGGAAAGCAAAAAAGCAGAAAAGGACTAACCACAATAAATAGGAGATGCAATAATTTAAACAATGGTGACTGTAAAGCCTAGGCCGACTTGATTGTGGCCAAAGGTTTTAATTTGTCCGGCAATTTTTACATACTTTTGGTGTTTCAATAAATTACTGTCTCTTTCATAAGAAAAAGAAGAAAAACAAAAGAAGAATGGATGGAACAATTTTTCACTTCAATTAATGGCCTGGTTTAGTATCTAGGCTCTGCTTTCAGTTTACACTTTATATTTTAATATCCCAACAAAATATAGGTGCTTGGGTTTGTGTATTCATAATTAAACACACACATACACATATAGTGCTAGACCTTTTACCATATCATCGGGTTATTAAATTGATCTATAATAGTAGAGAACTTTTCATAGCAAATCTGATATGGAGAAGTGAAATTTAGATAATAACTTGTTATAGCTGATTAAATTAAACAGGGTAAAATGATTTTACCATAACATTCATTTCTTTGGATATTTTATAACATAACAAGTACCCGCATACTATTTTCATTTTCTCCTGTTTTACTGATTGCTTTTTCCACTATATCATGCATGCCAAGATATTCTTAACCTCCCCCCCCCCCCCCCCC